GTCAAAATTACTGTTTTAAGATATGATTTTTGAGCCCATTGTGGTTTGCTTGTTGCTGCAAAACCAGAACAACCTATGTAAAATCTTGGAAATTATTCTGGAAATTCAAGACTAAGTTGGGTGCTTTCCCTTTAAAGGGCAGATTTAAAGGAATACCATCCTTTGTTCTAACAAAATAGTCTGGTCTTGTCAATCCAGAAGATTTGTGCATTGCTGAACATAATGGCATTTTATTACCTAGTTTATTTCTGTCTAGCATTCTAAGACTCCTGCTGATGCTTTGACTCAGAGTAGTTTTTAGTTTGGAAACATGAACTGCAGTGTCACAGATGACTTCTTTCTTTTGCTAATTCATATTATTTTTTTAAGAAAGTGTTACGTTCAAGAAAGAAAGTGTTTGGCCAGACAGAAGTTGTGTTTCAAACTGTGAACATCTAAGCAGCAGTGTGTGAAAATAGTGGCCTTTAATTTTGCTCCCCTCAGTCTCTTGTTAATGTACAGTTTGCTCATTTCTAACAGTAGTTTAGTATATTATAGGTAAGCTTAACTACTCTGTAGTAGTAGAACAGATTTCTCATATTCCTCAGTTGTGAATCAGTAAACCATAGCTTGTATTCAAGTAAAAGGATGGATGTTCAAATTCAGAAGTGTGCACTGAGGACCAGCAGACTATCTCGTTCTTGGAGTTAGGGACATTATATTTACAGAATAATGTATTCAAATTAACTATGGCCATTATCTGAAATTGCATATTAATCGAGTGCGTTAAAGTAGCTTATTGCAAGACAAATCCTGCAATATTTTAACAGTTTCTAGCAGAACACTTGCACATAGGGAAGGATTTTATAATAAAGCTAGATTCAAGAGACATCTTTATATGAATATGAAAGAAATGGGAAATTTCCTGCTTTTGGAGAAGCATTATGATAGAAATAACCTTAAATGTAATTTTTTCCGCAGTTTTATGCAGCGTGATTTAGTTTTTCCTTTATAAACTAGCACACAAGGTTGAGAATTTTGGCTATGCGATTCCACATTCAGTTGTAACATTGTAAACATTCATATTATATCTTCTTTTATGTGAAGCTATAAATGTCCATCAAAATATTTACATCTCTTCAGTAATTTAAAATATTAAAAACAAGGGCCAGATTTCAACATAGTTTTCAAATGGTTTCAGACCTTTGCATACATTTCTATATACATACACCAGTTAGTAGTACCCCTCCATACATACTCATACCATGCAGCTTGTTCCTGACTGAAGCAGTCTGTGGAAAGGATATACAGTTGCATCTCGTGAGAATATCAAACATGAAAGCGTACATGTATAAGTAAATCCATGGCATGTGCATGTGGAAAAAATCAGTTGTAGAATTTATTTCATTATTTTGATGCCCAGGATGCACTTTGCATTTTATACACAGAGGTTTCGTGCCGTGCCCACACAGCACAGCAGAGTGCTGTGTTTGGAATTCCCGACCTGGCTCTACATGATTTATCTCAGGTATTCCGCCTGTGTAGTTACCCAGCAGAAAAGCTAGCAGTGTTCTCTGCTTTTTCCAATAAACGAACAGGCTCATTTCGAGTTACTGCCAGGATCTTGTTGTTGTGGCACTGCTTTGTGCTGTGCAGACATACCTTGGAGCAGAATTATGTGTAAATCACTCATAATAGTCTGAGGCTGGAGTCTTGCATTTTACTCAGAATCTTGCACAACCCTTACTACAGGCATCTGTATGCTGACCATTATTTTCTAACCAGATCCTAATGCTGTTCTATAAAGTCTCTGCTCCTATGTTATCCAAATAAAACATTATGAATGTTAATGAGTGAAATTTCATTGCTGTTTAATCCTTAAAATGCACTAAGCTAATTTGTGAGTGTCCCTTAATTACAAAAAATTGAAGGCTGAAAATTAGGTTGTGGACATAGATAGTAATTATATTTTTATTTTTACCTCCATAATATATGGAAAGGGAAAATGACCAGTTGTGGTTAGGCCAGAGGCCTTAATGGTGGGTTATAGTCCCAGCAATGCCATTCACTCCTACCGGTGCCAAGTGAACTTGAACAAGTCATTTAACGTCTGTCTGCGAAGTGTCCTTACCTGCCTAATAGTTATTGCCAAGATGAGCTGTAGTTAAGCACTCTTGACTCTTAAGGCACAGAGGAATTTGCAAAAGTGTTATTGTCATTATGAGTCTCAGTAATGGCCACATAATCACTGTTGGAGCCCCTTGGCCAGACTTCAGTTGCCACTCCTTGATCACAGATGCTGTGCCCTTGTCTTAGATGATAATTATGTTCTCAAACCAGATTTATAGATGTTCAGGTTCTTCCCATGCTTGGTCATAATAGCATGGATGTATAAACTGAAATATTTTCAACATACTGCTGGCTGAAAACCTAGAAGCATCTCCTGCTATTTAGACTATTTGATAACTATTTGACTACTACTGTTTCTTTCTGAGTGCCTGTTTTGGACATACTGCTCAAACAGGTCAATACCTAGCACTCTTGGTTGAGAAAAAAACCCCAAACTTTGGAGTGTAGATCAAATTTGAAGAAGAAAGTAATAAAACAGAGAATTTGAGAATGTAGCAGCTGGACTGACAAATAACAAAAACAGATTACTGGGAAATTGCACATACGCATGCCAAATGTAGAAGAAATCTGAGTGTTTCTGCTGACTGCACAAATCTGTAGATTAGAGAGATTTAATAAAAGGACAAAGTTTTATTCTCTTCCCCATTCAAAGTCCAGTTTTTTGTTTTTCATATCACTCTTCATATAATTAACATATAAAGTGTTTATTTTGGTTCAGCTGAAGAGCTTCAACAGGGCAAGAGGTAATTAGAGGACTGTTGTCTAGGAAATTACAAAGTAACAGCCTTGATGCATTCAGATGAGGCCAGAAGTGCATAATAAAATTCCTTTGGGAAAGTTAAGCCTAGAAAGATCCCAAAATTCTGCATTTATTGCAGTTTCAATGTCAGACTCTAAAGGGGGTATGGATCAAATCTGCTATTGCAGATAACAGTGTCATGTAATACTAATCATAATTTTTCCTCTGGATATCTCCTGTTCTTTCAGCTTGTTAACCTTGCTTTATTCCAGTGGACATTATTCATACTATTCTCGTTAAAAATAAGCCTACAAACATGCTGTGCAGTTCAGAAAGTGCTGTTTTTCTGTTTCTCCATATGGGCTCTAAGACAGGTACTTTCTTAGTCACCAGATTTTGCCCCTTTTGCTCCATCATGTTTGCAGTACAGAATCATCTTGTTGAGCTTTTCTGCCCCATTTCTCCACATCGCATTCCCACAACACATACTCAGCAGAATATCTAGCTCGCAACTAGATACTGCAGTTGTGGAAGCTTGATAAGTCCTTGTCATAACAGTAGTCCCTGACATTTAAAGAACTTCAGTTTATATTTGCAAGCCAAATTTCATACCTTCGTACTTCTTTCAATTAATCAAAGTTAAACCATTGTATATGTGAAGGGGCCTCTTGTGGTTTCTAAGTAAGTAGTATGGCTTTTCTGGCAGAGAGCCACAAGCAATTTAGTAGGCACATATTGAGGGGGTTGAGAGGAAGAGAGACAGGGATAATCCAGAAAGCTTTAAGAAGGGCTGAGTGAAATCAATATTTCTATACACGGTACAAGAATTTCACATTCTGTATCTTACTTTTGGCCACAGCAAAACTGTTTTGATGTGTTGTCAGTAAAGTAATTCTGAAATATAGCACTGACTTGGTTTTCCTCTCGCTCAGCCAGTTTTGCGCTGGTTTTGCTTCAGCTGAAGTATTCCAAATTTGCACCTGTGGTAAAGAAGAGTTAGGGACGGGTTTTAGTATGCATGGTGTACAATTAAGTTGTATACGTCACTAAAACATTTCCACGGGAATAACTCTAATATGGTTCCTAGTTGTCTTCAGAAATAATAAAGTTTAATTTTGTGGCCTAAATGTCAAGATGAGGCTTTATCATGTAACTGTTGCCTGAGAGCTATACAGCTGTAAATAGATACTAACATAAAAGGTCTGTCTCCAGCAGAGCTGATCTCTCTTTCCATTTCTGACAGGGGTCACATAGCCAATGTAAATTACCACCATAAACTAAATTCCACCTCTCCTGTAGAACAAAGTGCTTGATCTGCCTGTCTAGAAGCCAGGAGCTACACAGAGAACTGTAATATTTCAACAATTCAACATGAGTGGCAACCTGTTCTTAATAATGAAACACAGGCAACATTTAATTTCATTTTGTCTCAACTTATTAAAATCCATCATTTCTTTAGGGGATTTAAGAACTATCTGAAGGGAATCTGAAGACAAGGAAAATAATTCAAATAGAAGCGCTGTGTATTTCGTGCAAGATTCAGGTTCAACAGGCACATCTTGACATCTGTAGAGAATGAGTTACTCTTAGGAAAGGACAGCCTAGACATCTCAAGAAGAATGTGAATTCTTCTCCGTTTTATCTGTCATTTTGATTTAATTACAAAATCAAATTCAAATATGCAACATTAGCCATATCAAAAGAGTTAGTGGATTTTAGTAGAAGTGGAATTACAACTGAAAAATTTAAACTACTATTGCAGAGTTTTTGGAGTTATAATGATTTACATGGATGTTTTATAACTCATCTATAAAATGCTGTTAAAAATGACATCAAGCCTGGAAACTATAACTTAACACTAGAGTCTTATAATTTTATAGCTACAACATCTTGAATTCAGTCTCAAAGGTCTCAGAAACTGAAGAACACAGGACTTAAAAAACAATCCAGCAGACATATCAGAAAATTTGGCCCCAGTTCAGTATGTGACTACCTAGAATATTTTACACACTCCTTGTTTTATATTAAAGATGAATTCAATGTAAATGTTTGGAATTCTTCTTACAGACTTGTTGAAAAGGGACAGTATTTTAGCATGACTCCCTTGTACAAACCTGGTGTTTAGCAGATTACGTATGTTATTCTGTTATAGGTACACTACAGTGATAGACAAAATGGCAAAGAGTGTATGACCTGTTTGACACTGTCTCCTGTGCAGATGACTTTCCAAGGTATCGGGAGCTCCATTGAAGCCAGCCATGACCAGGTATAATACCTTCACCCCACACTCTTGTAATTTTATTAATATCTAGTAAGGCCAGAATGCCAGCATTAGTAAATTTTAACACATCTTGCACTTATCATATGGCATGTTCTTGTCACTGGGATTTGCCTATCTTGCCATAGTAAAATCCTGATTAGTTCTAGAGTTACCCAGAAAGGAGACAAAACTGTGTCTAAGTTTTATATATTTTTAAGATGTATTGGGAAAGCCTAAAGAGCTTGCTTTGCTTTTGAAGTCAGATGTAAGGTCTCTGCAAAGGTTTTGTTTAATTTTATGTATGTATCAGGTCTTGTCTGTCCTATTTTTACTAGAAGATTATGGGTACTTGGAAAAGCAGAGATGAAGCCATCATCTCTAGCAATCATCTGTCACAAGAATCTGACATTTGAGAGGGGAAAGGGATTTTTAATCAGACTGTGTAAAACTCCCTTTTTGTTTGGCTGTTCTTAAAACATTTAATTCAAGCTTCTGGCAAAAAGCCAGGAGAGAAAAAAAAAAATCTCAATCACTCATCACCCTGCTGCTTCAGATGGGAACTGAGGGGGACTTCCATTCCAGTCTTCTTGTCCTCCAACACTCATGTATAAAAGCAAGACAAGACTTTGATACTCCAAAATTTTTAAAAGCAAAAAGGAAACAAGTAGAAGAAAACTTTAAACCAAACCTTGCACCTTTCAGATCTTCAGTAGATTGGAAAAAGTGCTGTTTTTATTTATCTTCACAGGCCATCTTTAAATGGTACTGTGTTCACATTTACTGTACATTTTATCAAACTCTATGTTTCTCTAAGGAAAAGGGGAAAGTCACCTTAAGAATTATCAAAGTTACTTTGGGGGAAAGATTCAGACAGTCTTTGCCATATTTTAAGTTGGTGGGGCTTTTTATTGGAAGTTTCTAAGTTAGTTGTTAACATAAACTAAGCCCATTAGTTATTTACATGGTAACATGAGGATACTTCCTCTCCTTGAGTGTTTGGTGTTTTACAGTAATGGAGAGCTGTGGTAAGTCAGACCCTACTTCGACAGACGTAATCTGTTCAATTCTCATTTCATCCAGCAACTTGTTTATGCTGTTCTAAAGTTGCTCTGTTTTTCTTTCAGTAAGTATCGCCTTTTAAAATTCAGTTATAACTCAAATACAATATTTAGACATTTCAATGAATTTAAGGTGGTCCCTGTCAATTTGGTAACAACTACATTCTGGGCTACCAGCCAGCTTGGCCTTTGTCTTAGCATTTATTTAGGCTAGAGTATGATATGTAAACAGAAGAAAGACTTTTTGTAAGCAAAAAGCACGTTTAAGCCATCTGAATAATTATATATTTAAGACATCTAAATGAAAAAGTGTTGTTGAGCCTGCAAAGTCAAGCACCTAGAAACTAGGAAATTCCAGATTATGTGCAGCATTAGGTTGATCCCAAGTGTACCCATTCAGTGCTCCAAACAGGACATTCTTCTGGGAGGAAAAAAAAATTGCATAAAATCACATAGATAAAGATTGTACTATAGCATGTACACAAATGGATATTTGCTTGGGCCATTATGAAGCTAGAATTTCCTAATCTTGCTTCAATTTGAAGTTTAAAAAATGTTCATCGTTGGTTTTAGTTATGTAATTTACCACAGGGTTCTTAAAAGGAAAGAAAAATGTTTTGTCATTGCATGGTGGGGTGGTTGCTGTGTTACTGAACCCACATCACTTGTGCAAAGATTTAATCAAATTAATCATCCAAAAGCCAAGTGCCAAACAGTAGGTCACAAAATAGACCCACTTACTGGTCAGGAGTCACAAGGTTCTGCTCGTCCCCTTCCTAAATATCAAAGGAATTCCACTTTCTGGGGAAGAGAGATGCTACTGACTGCTTGTGTTTGATAAGGGGGATGGCAAGACTGGATTGAAGCATCACCTAAACAAATAGAGAAAATGAATCATTAGCAAACAAACAGAAAGTGCATCAAGTATTTGTCAGGCACTAGAATTAATTAATGACAGAGCTCTTAATGGACCAACTTAAAAAACCACAACTTTTCTTTCTTGTTCCTGTGTGATTGGTATGATTTTGCTTGTTTTTCTACCATTTCCCTCACAGCAGATTTATTGGATACTCTTACTCTTTTTGTAAAAAGAGGGGACAGAAATGCTGTGCCTGTGTTAAGCTGAATTATCTGCATTTTAAAGTTTCAAATGAAATAAGTGCAAGATAGCGATTTGCTATAAAACTGAAACTCTAGAAACTCTTCTTCAATTTATGTAATCTGTTAATTTTAAATTGTCTCTTTTGTATGGTATGATAATTAGGGTGGGCTACTTACCTGGAAGCCTGTGATTTCAGTGGAGGCCTGTTGATTTGTGTCAGCTATGAGGTTTAACTTCAGGATCTATCCACTTCTGTGCTTATGAAGATAACTTTTCTCGTGATCATTCTAAAATATAGATTCTATAAATTTTGTGCTTTTTAATGGAAAACTGAATTAGATTCTGGAATAATTTCTCTGTGGGAAAGTGGTGGAATCTGTTGTGTGAGAATATCTAATAAAACAGCTATATACCACATTTTTCACTGTGTTGTGACAGAAGAACCACAGCTGACCATATACCTTGATCAAAAAAAGTAGTAGAAATTAAAAAAACCAGGTTCCAAGTGGCATCTCCAGCACTCTCATCCACCTTTTAGATTGGACTTGTGTTTCGTAATATAGATATATCTCTCTATTCCAGCAGGTTTGTTACTCAGCAGATGCTAGTGTGGTTACTATCCTTAATAGGTACATTATCTTGCTTTTGCAAGTAAACCAAGACTTGACACAGCAGTTTTTTCAAGTCACTTGCTCCTTTCCTGTATCTGCAGGGAGTTTTCATTCTTTAGATTGGTTTAGCTTGTGATTTTAATGAGTCTAAATTTTTTCCCCACATACTTCATTTGAGCAATTTAAGATTAAAATAAACAGTTCATACTGATACACTAATTAGTGTGTATTTCAAATGGCTGATTGACAAGGCATATCTAATTTGATCATGAAGCAGTATTGTGGAAGCAATTGCTGGTCTTTCATTTTCCTTTCGGCAAACTGTAAAAAAGAAAAACATTCCTGAAGTACCACTGCATTCTAGCCTGCCACATGTTTTGTTGGGTTATGCATTCAGATATGCCAGCCTCTTATTTAGTGGGTTTTAGAATATTTTTTCCTGAATTACTTCTCTTTCTGTTTTCTCTTTCCCAGTATCAGACTATAACTATAAATTTCTTTTTTTTTTTTTTAATGGCCACTAGTCTCTGTTTTTTCACTAGAATTTAGCTACAAGCAGCTTTTAGTTTAAATGGTCACCACTTTCTAGTGGCTTTCTCAAGCAATCCTGACTTTATCCTTAACAGTGATGAATCCTGATTTTTTTTACCTTGCTGTGGGACTGGAGACAACCTATTCTTAGGGTTTGTGGTGAATTTTAGGCATATAGTGTGAAGCTGAGGAATTAATTGTATTTGGGTGATACAAAGAAACAGAAAGGCAGTCCAGGTAGTTGTTTTAATTTTGTCACTAGAAATTGAAGAAATACCTTGAAGAAATTTCAAGGTATGAGGAGTGGGAGACAGAAAAGGGAAAAAATCAAAGATAGAAGGCTATATAAGGAAAAATAGGTGGAATGGAGCAGAAAACTAAGAAAGTGCAGGGAAATGGGCTAGTGAATGTCTAAAGGCCACAGGAGTGGTATAAACAGAGCAAGTTAGATCTAAGTGGAAGGGGCGCCCAAAAACCCCACCAAAATATGTAAAGACATCTTCCCTACTGCTTAGCCTGAAAGTCTTACAGAGTTCTGCCTGCTTAGCTTCTCAGAATATTGAACACTGGATTCCTTGTAACTCATACAAATAAATACCGTTCAGCTTTAGCAAGCTGGGTTGTATGAAGGACTCTTTGAATTCTTGAGCAAAGACATACCAAGAACTTTTAGTTAGAAGATGTAATGCTATTGGAGCGAACTACTGAAGCACATAAAGGTTTCTGTTTCCCCTGAAGACTCGTAGTCAATACAGTAAAGTTGTTAAGAGATATACTTTACTCAATACAAATTACTGGACTCACTGTAACAGTAGCTAGATTAAATTGGACAGCCTGTGTCATGTAAGACAGCCTGTGACATAGTTTCAGTCTAAGAAGTGACACTTCTACTTATGATACGTCTTGAACAAGCCAGTGTCAAACTCGGTTTCCATGTTTGTTGTATATTTTGGAAACTTGCAATGTTACCATCTTTTGTGGCTTTGTAATAATTGCTATTTTCTCTGAATACTTCATCTCTAAATGACTGTAAAACTCTGCTTCAGGGGTATATGCTCCTGTGGCTCTTACAGCTTTGAAGAAGAACCTGAAAAAAACCAAACATCTTAGGTGCATTCTTAAGGCTTGCTGAACAACAGGGAAATTGAAAGTATGATAATTTATTTTTAAATACAAGTATTTTAAAGTCATTCCTGGTGATGAGAAAGAACAGATTGGGCCCATTTTGAGATTTTTTGAATGCTTGCCGTCGAGTATTCTGCCTTTACAACTGAATTTTTAACACCCAGTAACTTGACATTCCTTGAGGGGTGACCAGTTCTCTACTTAGATTTCAAGAGACAGCTCAAAGACCAGTGCATTTTCTTAAATTCTCATTACTTTAATACTTTTTTATTATTTTGGAGGCTTTAACATGTGTGTGGGTTTTGGAGCTGGCAATACTGACCATTTGTTTATTACTGGCTTCTGCTGTTTACTTCACCCAATAGTCCCAATGAGATGTGCTATTAAAGTGATGACAAAGAATATTTTATGCTCATATCTTGAGTCTATGCTTTTGTAATCCCATCCATTATATTTATGTTGTGTATTAGACCATGTTTTTAGAATTCTACACATTACAATGCATAAAATAGAGTATTTCTATTTTCTCAAACAGGTAACAATTGTGTAATGTTTTATAAAATCTACCACTATTATAAC